TAGTTGTGTGTGTCAGTGTGTAGTTGTGTATTAGTGTGTAGTTACATGTCCCAGTGTGTAGTTGTGTATTAGTGTGTAGTTACATGTCCCAGTGTGTAGTTGTGTGTGTCAGGAAGTGATTTTTGTGTCAGAACATTTGACAGAACAGGAAGTCTCTGTGGAACTAAGAGTTTGGGTCATTGTGTGTTTGTGCGTAGTTGTGTATTAGTGTGTAGTACGTGTCTCAGTGTGTAGTTGTGTGTTTGTTTGGAAGACATTGGTTAAAATGAGGATCTTTGTTCTCTTTGGAACCGGGTCACATTCCTTCAGTCCAGATCATTTCCTGTCAAATTTCTGCTGTTGGCTCTGTTGAACAGATTCTGGATTTAAAAAAAAAGTTAAAAGTTTTAAATCTTAATTTATGCTTTAATTATTTTTTGTTTACAAAGTAAACAAAAAATAATTTAAAAGAAGAGAATCTTCAGGACAATCTGAACTTGAGGATAATTTAAAATTAAGATTAAATGATTAGTTAAAGTTCAGTTTTTAAAAGTTTTGTAGTTTGTTTTTGAGATTAAATTCTGATCTGTTTTAGTTCAACAACTTTTTGCAATTTAAATGTTTAAACAATAAAACAAATTTGTTGCTTTTGTGGTGAAATTATTTGTACATAGTGTCTGAATTGTGATTGAATGTAAGAATTTTATATATTTTTTTATTTACTAAAATGAAACTGAATTAGCTGCGTTTAACTGAAGAATAAAAACTAATAATCATAAAACTCAAGAAATTATTTGTTGTATGCAAGTTTTAATCACAACATTAATACCAAAAGGATGATTTAAACACATAAAAAGAGTTTAAACAGTTCAACAAGCTCTGATTTGTTCTGATTTTCCATTTCAGGGATAAATAAATAAAAAAAGTTCAGTTTGATGAGTTTCAGATGTTGGAGTCGCTCCGAGTTTCTCCATCTGTTTCGTATTTTTTTAAAGTTCTGCTTGTTTAAATGTTTGACGTCCCAAAGGACAGAGACATCAGGGACACATCTGTTTGTCCTTCGACACTCGACACTTTGTGAGAACCGTGTAACGACTTGTTTTTCTGCACTTTGACAAGTCCAGACTCGACACAGCTCACAGGTTCATTTCCGGTGTTTTTATGACCCCCTCGTTCTAAAAGAAGAATTAAATGATGAAATCTACGACAGATTTATTTCAGAGGTTTATCAAACAGTATTGTCCGCAGATTATCTAAGTAATGATATGTAATACAGTAATATGAAGTTTTTTTTCTTCTTCTTCTTTCAGCTGCTCCCTTCTTCAGGGGTCGCCACAGCGAATAAGTCGCATGAAGACATGGCAGTTATTTTTACGCCGTATGTCCTTCCTGACGCAACCACAGACCACCGAGCTACCACAGCCTCTGTGTGGAGCAGGGAGCTGCTATGTAGGGCACCCGGGGGAGCAGATGGTGGGGGTTAAGGACCTTGCTCAAGGGCCCAGAGTGGGACGAATGAAGGTGGAGGCAGGTGTGGGTGCTTCATCATTCCTACCCACATTTTAATGTTTTTGGTACCGGGAGTTGAACCGCTGATCTTCCGATCACAGGCCCACCCTCTCTAACCTCTGCACCACCACTCCCTATGAAGTATATAAAGTATGTGATTTTATAAAATAATATGACATCAGAGCCAGTGGCGATTCTTTTATCTGACCTTTAGGGGTGCTTAGGCCCCAGCGCTGACAATGGCTATTGGCTTGAAGAACACGATGTCCATTGGCATCAGAAGCATTCATAATGTGGAGGGAGATGCTAGTGGAAAGGAGGGGGCGCCTGGGGGTCATCCCCCAGAAAAATTTAAATAAAGTAGAAGCAATTTCCTAAATTCTGGTGTATTTTAACAGGTTGTTAAACATCTAGGTTTACCTATTAAAGTAAACGTGATTCAGTAACTGTTTTGGAGAGCATGGCACAACAAGAAGTAGCCTGACTAACAGTTCCCCTTGTGTGAATAGAGCATGCTCTGCTTTTCTCATGCATCCTAACCTGCTTCCCCTCCAGCTCCTGCAGGTAATGGGTGTTTCACTTTGGGACAAAATGAGGTCGCTGATTGGTCAGTTGCTGATGAGCCTACTAGATTTATTGACAGCTGGTGTCGTGGATTGAATTGAATCCGACTCGTGCAAAAAAAATCATCGATTTTACTGGCCCTTTTATTCCATTTTTATTTCACATTTTTTTCAAATTTTTTTTGCGAATCTAAGGTTTGAGAACTGAGTTTCTTTACAAAATCTTAACGATGGTTTCTTAATTTTTCAGGGGTGCTGAGTTGAAATTTAGGGGTGCTTGAGCACCCACAAAAAGAGGCTAAAATTGCCACTGATCAGAGCAGAGAGAACAGGACTGTCCCTCCATCAGTGAGTCCAGAGACGCTGAGAGGACTGTTGGCTTGGAATAAAAGTAGATGTTGACAGCAGAGTCTCAGGTTGTCAAACCTGACTTGTTTCACCTGGATGGAGAAAACAAAACTGTTGGTGATTGACATCTTTTCAACTTATCCAGAAATGGTGCTGCTACAGGAGTTATGATGCACATTAGAACTCCTCGTCAGGAGGTTCTGCTGCTCGGGAGCAAACCGGTTAAAACAACACCAAGGCAGAAGTACATCAGCAATGACCTTAGAGAAGCAGCTGTTGCTGTCTGTTAGTCGGGGAGGGGTCAAAGGTCATTTGGAGCATCGTTCTGCAGTGGAAATGTAAAACATTTAAGACGGATGATAATCCTCCCAGGAGTCTCAGAACGACCCTGGTCTTAGTGCTCCACCTGGACCACTTCCTGTCTAGGTCTTCTTCCTGTCCTCTCTAACCCCAGCTGGGGATGACAGATGGTGGTCCATCAAGAGCCTGGTTCTGGTGCAGGTTTCTTCCTGTTTAAAGGGAGTTGTTCCTTTCCACTGTCACCACTGTGCTGCTCAAAATGGAAGATTTAACTCAATCTGCTGCTTCCATGGACAGATAACTTTTACTGATTGCCATTTTATAATAAATGTGAGTTTTTCGTACATTTTAAAATTTGTGAAAAGGTTTTTACAGTGACCTGAAGTGGCTTTTGTTGTGAATTAGCATAATATAAGTAAACTGAAATGAAGTAAAGTCCTGATGCACACTCAGTGATCCAGGTAAAGGTAAGAAGACTGTGGGGAGCAACCTTCCCACCACCTCAGACCTCTACACTTCACGATCCAGGTGAGGGTGCTATACATCATGAAGGACTCCACTCATCCTGCACACAGTCTATTCTAGCCCCTCCCCTCCAGCAGGCGGCTGAGGAGCATTCAGAGCAAAGCAAGACCACCAGGCAAGTCAGGTCTTCTGGACGGATTCGTCTTTGTTGAAATGTTTTGTCCAAGGAGACTGAAAAAGTATTTTGTATAAAAGACAAAATGTTTCAGCAAAAAAAAAAAGTAGTCCGTCCAGATGACCTTTTTTAACCGTGTTAAAATGAAGTAAAACTTACCCCGAGGGGTAATCGTGCACAGTTCAGAGAAAAACAGCTCCTCTGGTGCGCACACACACACACGCACGCACGCACGCACGCACGCACACACACACACACACACACACACACACACACACACAAACACACACACACAGGGAGTGCTCATGTGTGCAAATTAAACACAGCTTGTTCTGATTTCTGCAGAGACTCTGGACAAAGGAAATCCAGAGAGAAGAAGAACAGCTGCAGATAACTGAGACAGACGAGACTGGGATAGAAGGAGAGAAGGACAGACGGGAGCTCAGAGGCTCTTGGAGGAACTTATAGAAAATGTCCTGGTCTGGGTTTTGGAGCAGCAGGGCGCAGCGAGCAGAGCAGCTGAGGAGAAGCTCTCAGCTGAAACTGAGCTCCTCTCAGAGGTGAGTCTGCTGGCCGCTCAGATTCTGTTATCTGGCTCAACAAAAGTTGCTTTGTTAGAACGTTTGTTGTTCTGAAACTCGTAGATACTTTTCTTCACTGAGGGAGTCTTTCCAGATGTGTCAGCTGCTCTCATACCAGAGGAATGCACCCCCATACCATCAGAGAGGCAGGCTTTAGAACTGTAAGCTGATAACAGGTTGGATGCTTCCTCTCCTCGTTTGTACAGAGGATGTGGAGTCTATGGTTTCCAAACAGAACATTAGATTTGAACCCATTTGACCACAGAACAGTTCTGGACTTCACCTCAGTCCATTTGAAATGAGCTCTGGTCCAGAGACGAGGCAGTGGTTCTGGTTGGTGTTCACAACTGGCTTCTTCTTTGCCTGACAGAGCTTTAGGCAGCATCTGTGGATGAACTCTCGTTACAGAAGATGATCTGTGCAAACGTTCCTGAGCCCAGAGCAGAACCAGACCTGGTTTTAATGTAGTGGCCCCTGAGGGCCCGAAGATCCCGACCATCAAATATTAACTTTCTACCTCGTTCTGTGAGCTCAGAGATTTCTACATATTCTTCTAATCTATGGATGAGATTATGAAGTGGAGATGATGGAGATCAAAGTCTTTATCAGGAACTTTATTCTGAAATTGTTCCACTAGTTTTAGATGCAGCGTTTTGAAGACTGCTGAACCTCTGCCCGCCTTTACATCTTATATTTAGCCTTTTATAACCTGTCCTCTTAGTGACCTGTTGAAAATGAACCTTATTAGTTACAATCCTAATTATGGGCGTGCTGCAGGCGTGTATGGATTTTTGTTTATAACAGTGAGATTCCTTAGTTTAAACATTTCATATGATTCCTGTGTTCCACTGTAAATGAAAAAGAAAAATGAATGGGGTTGCGGCATTTGCAAATCATTAAATTCTGTTTTTATTTACATTCTACAGCTGAGTTGTATTTCTAAACAAATCCAAAGTGGTACAATGAAACTTTACATTTTATGCATTAGGATGTTTTGATCAGTGGTACCAAATACAGCTCACAAATCGGTCCTTGGATCGACTTTATTTTGTCCCATTCCTTTCTCCGTATTTTCCTCGGACATCAGCAACCATCACACTAACGCAATCCGTTTGTTGGGGGACTTTATGTAAAGGTCATGGATGTTTCACTTACTAATGTTAAATTGATATAGAACCATGTGTGTGAAGTCAAGAGAGTCTTTTTGTCTACTCAGAGAGGAGCCTGATAACTTCTGACACATTCAGATCTGTGAGCTGTGAAGCGGTTGTCTGGACCTCGTCTCTGTCTGATAAGCATTGTAGGTAGACGTTTCTTGATGCTGTCTGTGCAGACCTAGAGACCGGAGCTTAGATGTACCTTTGTTATAAACAGTGGTGTAGTCTACATTTTTGTATTGGATATACTGTGCTTAGAAACCAAAGTACACTGGTTAGTACAATGTAATCATCAATTTATTTTGATTTTTAAGCATATTGAACATTTCCAAATTTCTCTGATGCTTATATTTGAATAAATGAACAACAAACTTTGTACAACAGTTGGCTTTGTATTAAAAACATGTTATAGAATTTATAAAACAGCATCAATGCAAAGCGCTGCATACAGATAAATTGTTAAAAAGCGTTTAACTGCTGTTTAACATATCAATGACACATACCTCGATGTGTCATGTATCATTGGGTAGTTTTAAGTGGGTATATTGAAATTCTTAAGCTTTTCTAATGGGTATACTTCGTATATCCGAGTAGATCACTGGTTGTTTTTTTCAGCTGAGACGGCTGTCTAAGCTGAAGCCTATACTCTCCAAAAAGAACCATGAGACAGTGATCCACGCCTTCATAACATCTAGGCTTGATTACTGCAATTCACTTCTGTTTGGAATCAGTCAGTCCTCCATTTCACGTCTTCAACTGGTCCAAAATGCTGCAGCCCGATTTTTAACTGGTACAGGCTATAGAGAGCACATCACGCCAGTTTTGGCCTCCCTGCACTGGCTACCCATTCACCTTCGGATCCAATTCAAAATTCTCATGTATGTTTTTAAATCACTGAACAGTTCCGCCCCATCCTATCTCACTGATCTTCTGCAGCCATATGTCCCACCGCGCTCTCTGAGGTCAGCAGACCAGATGCTTCTCTCAGTCCCAGAAACCCGTCGTAAGCTCAGAGGTGACAGGGCTTTCTCTGTTACAGGTCCACGACTGTGGAATGAGTTGCCACTGAGTGTCCGGCAGGCTCCCACACTCTCAGTCTTTAAGTCTCGCTTGAAGACCCACTTCTATTCTCTTGCCTTTAACACGGTGTGATTTGTTTTGGTCCTGTCTGTACTCTACACTGTTGGCCATTTTAGTTAGCTTCTGCTGCTATTTGTATCTGTATTTTTATTTTGTTTTCCTGTCCGCTGTGCATGTTTGTTTTCTCTTGTACAGCACTTTGGTTGGCCTTGTTGCTGTTTTAAGTGCTCTATAAATAAATTGGTATGGTATGGTATGGTTGTAAGCCTAGTTTCAATCCTGCATCCCTTGCAAGAAGTAAACCTGGGTTGAAAAGTTTTTTTTCGCATTCTCAGTGTGGCTTATTTGATTAATGAGATGATGAAAGGGTAATTAATTTATCCAGCACTGTTTACATCCCATAATAGACTCATGTGTCTGTCTCAACAGGAGCCAGCTGCTCGGGAACTTTGAAGTTCGGGCGGCGCTGCAGAATGAACAAATGAGCTCTCTGCTGCCACCTGTTGGTACGGAGGTCTTCAGACGCTTCACGCCGGATTCTCCTGAAAAAAACCACCAAAAACACAATGCTGAGGAAGAGGAGCAGAAGAACAAACAGGTACTGATCCACATCTAATATATGAAAATTAATCAACTCAGAGGAGAAAGAAGAACAGAAGAGCTGCTTCGGCTGCTGTACAGAAAAATTTGTCTCACTTATTGTACTTGAAGGACCCGCCCAAAGCAGCCAATCACCTGGAGGCAGGAAAGACCCTCCCCTTTATCTATGGAGACACGCCCCCTGAGCTTCTTGGTACCCCATTGGAGGATCTGGATCCGTTCTACCAATCACAGAAGGTTGAGTTTTGTTTTAGAGATTAACGCAGTTCTTTCAGTTTTGATGGTAAATGATGTCAGTCATGTCTTCACTTATCACAGTCTGTGTCTTTTGGTTGTTTTCTGACAGATTTGTGTCTTTTCTTTTTGTTTCTTTGGTTAATTGTCGTCCTCTTGCGTTCAGTTTGTGTTCCTCTGCGGCACCAGCCACTTCTTCCAGATCTTTTGTTAGCCTCTGCTCCTCAGTCCTGCCACGCCCACTCACACCTGTTCCTGGTGTCATTAGTCGCAGCTGCAGCCACTCTTCCCTCAGTCCATGTTACTGTTCTGGTTCTCACAGTCCACCAGTTGAACATTATGCATGCTGCATGCCCCATCTGGTCCACCCCCTGTGTTGCTTGATCAGTTTCTGATGTTTCAGAAACAGATAGAAGTAAAACAGAAGTGCAGCTACTTTTCAAGACCGTACAAATAAAGTAGCTGTGCACAGAAACCCACCTTTTTATGAGCTCAACACTATCTCTCTCACTTTATTCTAGCTGGAAGGATGAGACTTTGTTAGTTCCACCTACAACTTTATTTTGGGGTGGTCAAACCCCCCCCGGGGGCACGCCCCACAGCTTGACAACCAGTGTTAGAGAAATTTAAGTGTCTTGTTGATAAAATCTGCTTCTCTAGGAGTTTTCATTTTGTCTTGGTTAGAAGACAATGACAACAATAAAGTTGTATTAAATGTTACAAATTGTCTGCTGTGTGTCTCTGCAGACCTTCATCGCTCTTTGTAAACACCAGATCATCCACAGGTTTAACTCTGAGTCGGCTTGTTACCTGTTCAGTCCGTTTAATCGCCTGAGGACTGCCGCCATCAAGATCCTCCTCCACCCATATCCTTCATTGCGTTTCCAAGCCCTTTGAGTGTGTGTAGCCTGGTCTCGTTGGTCATTCATTTGCTTCTGTGTCTGTGTTGTTGTTTGATGTCTTCAGCGCAAAGTTTTCCTGAAAAACAACACTTTCTTCAGTTTGTTCCTCATTTTGACGATTCTGACCAACTGTGTGTTCATGGTGTTTAGAGTTCCTGTGTTGAAAAATGCTGAGGAGTGAGTACACACACACACACACACAATATGGCCCTTTAGGTTTACCGTAGTAAAATGACAGAGAAAAGTGCATCTCTTCCAATAATTTATCAATTGAATAAAGGGGAATAAAGTTCAGTTCAATTCAGTTTATTTCTGTCGCTCCAAGTCCCAACAGAAGTCATCTCAAGGCACTGAACAGAAACATTCATTATCATTATAAAATACACTTAGTAAAAGTTCTCTATCTAAGGAAGCCATCAGACTCGGTGAATCTTCACTTTGTCACAGTCTCCCATCCTGAGCAAGCACAAAGGAGACAGTGGAAAGGAAAAACTCCCATTTAACAGGAAGAAACCTCCAGCAGAACCAGGCTCAGGATGAGCTTCGACCGGCTGGAGTTTGAGAGAACAGGAAGTAAAAACAGACAAACACAGAATGACAGGTCCAGGTGTACTTTTTATAGGAAGAAAGAAAAAAAAAACACATGTTAAGATATAAATAATTACAAATACAAACAGGTAGATTAGAGCAAGAAAATATAGCAGCAGAGTGAGGAAATGTGGTCAGTTTGTCCTCCAGCAGTCTAAGCTCAGAAAACCTAATTCGACCTTAACTGTAGGATTTATCAAAAAGGAAAGACTTAATCTTAAAACTGGACAATGTGTCAGCCTCACGGAACTAAAAATGGAAGTTGGTTCCACAAGAGGAGCCTGATAACTGAAGGCTCTGCCTCCCATTCTACTTTTGGAAACTCTAGAAACCACAAGTAAACCTGCAGTCTGAGAGTGAAGTGCTCTGTTGGGAAAATATGGAACAATAAGATCTGTAATATAAGATGGAGCCAGGTTGTTGAGAGCTTTGTTAGAAGTAAGATTTTGAATTATATTCTGGATTTGACAGGGAGTCAATGGAGAGAAGCTAAAACTGGAGAGATATGATCTCTCCAACCAACTCTCATTAAAACTCTGGCAGCAGCATTTTGGATCAACTGAAGACTTTTTAAAAACATTTTTGGACACTCAGATAATAAAAAATTGCAATAGTCCAGCCTAGATGTAAAGGAAGGGGAATCCACATTTCAGCTTCGCTCCGTGTAGCCAGAGTAATCATGCAAGCTGTTTTATTTCCCCTTTTAAGGTAAAAATTTACATTAACACATGACATAATAAACAAAAACATCTTGTCCTCACCAGCTGCGGAAAATCCAACGAGGCGTGAGAAAAGCAAGTTCCAATAATGTGACAAATGTGAAGTTGAAGTTCAGAGAAAATATTCCAGCTGAAACAAAAATCAGTGTCTCATTGTTTCTGATCAGGAACCAGAAAAGCCTCTACCTGTGGTCAGCTCCTGCAGCGCCCTCTGCAGGCTGCATCATTCGTGTGTGTGTGTGTCCTTGTTTATGCTACTTTGTGAGGCCCATTTTTCCAACTTATACTACATTATGAGGACCAACTGCTCCTTATGGGGCCCAAAGCCCGGGCCCCATAAGAAGAAGTCCCGTAGGTGGGTTAGGGGCTAGGTTTAGGACTAAGGTGTGAAATGAGGATGTGTTAGGTTTAGGGTTAGGTATGTACTGGTAATGGTTAGGTTAAGGATAAAGGTCATGGTTAGGCTATAGAAATGGATGAAAAATTAATGGAAGTCAATGCAAAGGCCCCAGAAAGATAGCAAAACAAACCTGTGTGTGTGTGTGTGTGTGTGTCCTTGTCTGTGTTCGGTGGTACGACAGGTACGTGTTCATGACCATCTATGCCTGTGAGGTGATCCTGAAGCTTCTGGCCCGAGGCGTCTGCTTGGGACGCTTCACCTTCCTCAGAGATCCCTGGAACTGGCTGGATGTCCTCAACATCATCGCGTAAAGACCAAGAATACACACGCAGTAGACACATATGATGCACACACACATTACACACAACAGACTTGATACACACACAGCACACACATATACACGATACAAACACATACACACACTTGACAATGAGAATGATGATGAAACTAATGATGATGATGATGATTCTGTTTCTGTTTAAGGTTTGTGGTTCAGTTGTTTGTTTTAGAAAAACTTTATGCTCTGACAACAATTGCACGTGTGTTGAAGCTCTTCGCCTACAGACCAGGTGTGTGTAATTGTTTATTACCAGTAGGTGTGTGTTATTGTTTATTACCTGCAGGT